CCTCCCCGAGCTGCTCGGAGGAAGGAGGCCCCGCACAGCCTCCCGGACTTGCCCCGAAGGCTGCCCCCGGCCCGGCGCCCTGCGCGGAGCAGGCCTTCGGGAGACGCCGGACGGGTGGGCGAAGGCGCTGAACCCTCCTGGGCGCTCCTCTGGGGCGAGCTTGTCGGCGCTGGCGTTCGGGAAGGGAGCTGCTACAGCGCGGGTCCGCGCCGACGGAGCTGGGTAGCCGCTGAGAAGCTCCCCTAGCTGGAGGGGCGGAGGGGCGAAGCTGCAGCGGCTTCTGGAGGCGTCTGTGCGGCCGGGGCATGGCTAAGGGGTGTGTGTGTGTGTGCGCGTGTGTGCGTGCGTGTGTGCGTGTGTGTGTGTGTGTGTGTGTACGCGCACGTTCACAGCGTTCCCCTGGGCTGTGCTCTTGGAGTTTTGTTTGTGTAACTGCGAGAAGGTGGGACATGAGTCTCTGGGGCAAGTGGGAAGGAGCAGTGGGGAGGGCCGGGAAGCCAGGAAGAATATTTGGTGCGTTTAGAAAGGACTGCTTGACGTTCAGGTGCCCAGTGTGAGTTTGCTTTTCCAGGTGACAGGACGGCTCTGAGGGGTGAGAGGCAGGTGGACCTGGTAGGACCTGCGGGGTCTGGGGATGGGTTTGTTTAGTTGTATTTAGGGGACGGAAGGGCAGAGGCAGAGCCTTTTGAAACAAGAGTTGTGTTCCTTCAGAGATGTGGCAGTTAGAGCTAAGAATACCCAAACCACACACCAGCAATCCCAAAAAGGCACTTTGTGGGTGTGGTGGGGTGTTCTGCCTCTGCCCCATCCCTTCCCTGCAGGCTCAAATGGGTTCGAATAGGTTTCTGATCCAGAGGAAGCTCCTTGAGGAGACTGAGCCAAAAGTGTGTTTTGGCTTCAGACCCTTGTGCCATCCCCCAATGCCCAGTAACCAGCACAGGTTTGTCCCCAAGTTCTTTGTTACCCAGAACTTTGCAAGCAGAGACCATTTTAATGAATGTAGTTTCTTTTTTTAAAATCTTGAATGTGTAAACATTTCTGATTTATTCCATGACTGGATCCTAAATTGGCAGCCCATCGCTGTGATGGATTTTTCATCCCTCTGGTTACAGCCAATAAATCTGTCCCCATTTTTTTTTTTCAAGGGCAGCATGGAAAATATTAAAACAGGCTTGCTGGGCCCAGGTGGGGGCCGGGACGCCTATCCATCTGGGCGACCTGTTTTCTGAACTGTACTTAAAGTGATCTGAGGCAAGAGCTTGGCCACTTAGAGGTGTGTAACAGGTTTCCCAGAAACATTTCTGAGGTCTTATAATTGGCACTTTTTAATGGTCTCGTAATTGAAGCCCAGAATGGTACTTGAGAAGCACCTTAGGGTCAGCGGGACAGAGGTGGGTGGAAACAGGAGTGGGCTTATGATTTTCCTGCCAGATTAGGTTTTCAAGTGAATTTATGCAAAAAAAGTAAAAATGAAAGACATCAGAGTTGCCTCCTTGTGCCTTTTTGGTGACATGCCTGTTCCTATGGAGACTAATTACTTGGAAATTGGCCCTTCAGGAGGCTGAAGGCTGTCTATACCTATGCATCCTGAGAACAGAGCCTGCAGGCGTTATCCCTTTTATCCGCCTTCAGGACACCGCAGACAAGCACCACTGCAGGAGCCATCATTCCGGACAAACTGCTCAAATCACAGGCAGTTGGCTTTACTGGGGCAGGGGACATTGACAGAGGTCAGGATGGTCAGCCTGTTGACCACAGCAAGGGAGGAAGGGTATGGAAGGAAACACCTTCTTAGCCTGTGGGGAGAGGACCTCCTTAGCTGCTAATTGGTCATCCAGCTCGTGGTAAGGAGGGAGTATGAACTCTGTTCCTTTTCATCCTCTAAAGGAGTCCTGAGACTTTACCTTCTTTGAAGTACTACTTCAACTGTTTAAGGTCCCCATTTTCCACAGCAGCTGCCTGTGGTTTCCATAGACTGAGGATGAGTAGATTTCCCTTGTGAAATATTTGGTTGACTTCCCCATGGACGCGCACATGTACACGTACACATACACACACACCCTGCACTTAAGAAAAGAAGGCAAGAAGTGAGCCTGATGATCTTACTGTGCCCAAGGCCCCAGGGGGTCTGGGTTCAAATTTCAGCAGTCACTGATATGCTTAATGAATCGAGGATTTATCTCTCCCTCTCTTTCAGACTGCGACTGAACACCCTTGTGCGCTACATAATTGCAGCCCAGTACTTTGTAGCCTCTGAATAAAAGCATGCTAACCTGGCACCAAAAGCTCTCATACATTGGGAGTTTGGCTTTTTTCCTTCCAAACCCTACACCACCTTACTCTTCAAGGGGAAGCGGAGTGGGGAGAAAGGGAGACAGCAGCAATATTTCCTACTGAGAAAAATCTGTTCACTTTAGTGTATGTAATTGCTCGGCACTTCCATATTTTGATTTCACAAACGTTGATGGCGCATCTGCCACCTGGCTGGGAGCGCCCTCGTCCCAGCAGAGAAAGTTTCCTCGGTCAAAGAGTGGTTCTCCCTCAATTTTTATTTACTGCACAAGCGTATACCACTAATTATGGAAATGTTTTTAAAGGTACCCACAATTCCATACTATAACTTACTGTTGTCCACCCACATGTGTGCATACTTCTTACGTAGTTGTGCTCAAAGTATGGAGTCTTGTCGTCAGACAGCCCTGAAGTATCTCTACATTTTTACCAAAGACTCAGAGAGAACTTATAGAGTCCGTGGCTTTGCTGTTGGCGGGAGCAAGCCAAATCCTAAGTGTGTTCCCACATAGAACCCTAACATGCAATATTTTCATAATTTATGAGCCGGAGTCAAATATTTAGGACTGGGGAGTTGGATAAGAGAGGGTGTTTGGTTTTAATCTAGAAGTCCGTGTTTACAAAAAGCCTTTCTAAGGAAGATTTTTGCCTCCTTGGAGCCCTCTGTGCTGCTCCTGGAGAGAAGGGGATGGCATGTAGGAAGGACGGTTGGAGGGCTCTCTAGCAAGCGGCGCTCCGTGTAGGGGCAGGCTGCGCCTCCAGCTCTGCCTCTGAACTCCGCGCACACCCTTCAGCGCCCTGCACGCATCTGCCCCTGCCTCTCCACCGCCTACCCCGTCTCATCGCACTGCCCAGTTCCTTGCCACAGGTGGACCTCACCCGTCTTGCCCAGCCTTTCCTGCTCCTCCTTTTGTTTTTCCATTGTCTCCATCACCCTTTGCGTTTCTGATACCACTGTGCTTGTTGATGCCCTTGAAATTTCTGGTGACACATGGCTGGGCCGTTACTGTCCACCTAGCGCCCCCCTGCATCGTCTCTCAGACCCTTCAGGTCACCTTAAAGTCCACATCAGGATCCTTAAAGTCCACATTTCTCAACCCTTTTACGTGTGGCTGCCTCCTGCTTCATGGCAGTCCTGCCTCATTCGGAGTCTTCTGCTTCAGCTCGACCCTTACAGTAGCTGACCCCCAGGTTTCGCTGAGTTTGTTCCTTGCCTGCTGCCCTGTTACCCCAAGTCTCCTCCCTAGAGAAACCCCTATCCCTCTATTGAGGCCCACCTTATTATATATGAAGCTTATAATATGTTTTAAAGAAATATTTGGTGAATAGTGCTGAAAATGTACCGCTGGATGCGAAGGTAATAGTTTTATAAAATCTAACCATGTCCTTAGTCCATTGTTCATCTCAATTCATAGCGAGGAACCAGGTAACTAAACATTTTAGAAGAGCTGTCATTTTAGGAAAATTGCTTTTCATCTGTTTTCTTATTCCTAAAATGGATTAATAAGGAATTACTATAGTTTATAGCAATGCACCTTATAAAAAGGGAATACTTCAGAACTATTTATTTTGTTGTTCAAAAGGTGAAACAATGCTCTCTCTCCTCAGTCCCAGAACAGGCTTCCTGGAATCCATGCCCCATGAAGTCTTGTCAACCATCTGAGTGTAGCAGTGAAGAAGTAGAAGAAGTAGGTGAGGCTCCCTGCTCCCAGTCTGATCTCTCTGGCCTGTTTGGTGTGCTGGATTTTCCTGTTTTGCATTATCACTTGGTCATCCTTTAGTATTGGAAGAGTCTAGCTCTGAGTGGAATCTGGAATACTCTTCAAGTTGTTTCTAGCAGTTCATGTACCCTTTTAGGCAAAGCCTGTGGTGGCCATCTGAACCCCCCTTTCCTGGAGACCAACTGTCAGACGTATTTGGGTATAAGTCATTAACTCTGAGATTTGAAGTCTAAGCTTGCTGTGGAAAAGCCCTGCTTAGGCTTGAGTGAAGAGAGCCAAGTACGTCTCCGTCACTGGTATTACACGGAGCGCCTGTGGTCTGATGTAGCAGGCATTGTTTATCTCACAGAACCAGAGTGATTCCACTTCTTTCCATCTTTTGAAACAAAGCTAGGAAATCATTTCTCTTTTGCTAATGGTGAATTTGGCTTTATCTTCAAAGAGAGCCTTTGATGTTTGAGACGGGATTATTAGGTAGTAAGAAGAAATCGTAGCAGAAAGATTATAGCCAATAATACACAGTCACCATCATTTGGTTGCCAGAAAAAGTGTTGAGACGGTCTCAACTAGTTCTGGTTAGGAACAGGAAGGTGTTACTAGGGACAAGGTAAGTAGGGTGGAAGAAAAATAACCCAAGGGGAGCTGAGCAGTAAAAGTGTAGCAAGGGAGTGTTACTCTTCTCCCAAATGAATTTGGACCATGTTGGACAAGATGATGTGGAGGAAGTGTATGTAAGCTAGAGCCTTCATCCTTTCACCAGGCCATTAGTGCATCCGTGTTGTGTGCCTGGCACTGTGGCACGGGCTGGCAGGGGTCAATCCTGGAGCCCACAGCATTCAGAACTCCCTTGCTACTCAGAAGGGATCTGCAGAGCAGTACAGTGCAGACTCTAGTGTTAAAGTGCTTGAAGTGGTCGGTGAAGAAAGACTTCCTGAAGAGACAGAATCTCAGGCTGAGTCTTAACACTAAAGGTGTGACGTACAATACCGAATGTTCTGCCTCTGCCTGTATGAGTTCACTATTTTGTTCCCCAAAATTTCCTCAGTGGATGGTGGGGGTAGGTATGCTGGAGACATGAGATTTCAAGGCTAGAGTAGTTTTATTTTTAATTTTAGAAAACATAATGTAGAACCTCTGCACTGAATGCAGAATCTCAGAAATCTGGGCCTTAGGTACGTTTCCAAAACCAATTACTGAATAGCTCTGGGGAGAAAAAGAGAAATGGGTGGTTTTCTTTTCTGTCTTTCCTATGTCAGATATTAGCTGCAAATTCAAGAAACACATACCTGAATTCAGCGTTTTGCTTTTCAGTTCCACTTGCCCTGTGTTCTGTTGTTTGCTTGAAATCATTCCCAGAGGAGCAGGAGTTGGGAAATTTATTTTAGAGAAGTGAAAGTCACTGGGCTTTTCTAGTTGCCCAGATACCTTCCAGGCTACCGAGAACTAAACATCACACGGGGCAGGAGCTATGGTAGGGGAGGAGGGTATGGGGACCCGGCTGTCTGAGGCTCCCACCCAGACTGGGCTGCAGTTGGACTGTGGAAGAGAAGCCTCCCCCACTTTCGCTGGCTCTGCCAGTATTTTTCTAGATTAGTCTAAGCCAAGTGCCTTTACTAGTCTGTACTTACCTAATATTACAGTCCCAGCAGGTTTATTAGGTATGGGTCACAGTTAATTGGAGAGGAAAATTGGGAGGTTCGGGGTTTATTGGTTTCTCTATGAAAGCAGAGGCTGCTCTTAATTATTTCACAAATCGTCCCTCCCACTTGACTGTCTTTCTGTTGTCTATCTCGTGGCTCTTGCCCCAAAGTGGGGTTACAGTAGCTCTTCCTCCTTCCATAGCTGTGCCCGAATGAGGCGGATTTATTAACGCCCTCAGTCAGCACAGGGCCTTCTTTTGCAAGAGAGACCACATGAAGTCATGGAAATTCGCAGCTGTTTACCTCTGTCATTATGAATGGATGTTTTGTAGTGAACAAATTGTATAAGAACCTGCCATGTTACAGCCAGCAGTTGAATTCGCATGGGTCTTCCAGTGGGCAGGCCTCTGAAACAATCACCTGCAGCCCTTCTTTGAGACCTTTGGTGGTCTGCCATCTGTGAGGGCTGAGTCAGCTCCAGGTGACAGCCCCGCAGTCAGGTCCTTTCCCTCTATAGGCTTCTGTTGCAGAGATGGAGCTGGGGAGTTCAGCCTGGAGTTAGCCCGTTAGCCCGCCTGGACGGTGGCAGCTTGCCAGCAAGTTCCAGTGGGTGGTCTGTGACAATGAAAGAAGGGGGGGAGGAGCTTAGCGCTCCTTCCCAGAGGGAACAACAAGGTAGCTTTCTATAGGTGGGCTTCACTTTACCACCCAGTCTCCCCACTGGCGCACCATACAAGTCTTGAGTGTGGGTGTAAGGAACTGAACAGGTTGCTCGGATGTAGTATTGCGATGGAGTTCGTTGCTGTCCCCCTGACTTTGCAGTGGAAGCTTTGTGTTTAGGGGGGCAACCCCCATTCCTCAGGAGGGTAAGCACACATGCGCCGCAGGTACCCGACCTCATGTGAGAGAAGAACGCTTACCCTCACTTGCCAGACCGAGAAGCAAACCTCATGGTATGGCCTCTCATCTCATCACTCAGGGAATCAACTGTGGACAAGGGGCACAGCCTGAGGTCAGCGGATCTCAGGGCCAAAGAGGCAGCTCTGCCCACCTTTACTTCCTTCCAGTGTTAGCCAGAGTGGTAGCTGCTATTTAGTGACCACCTACTGTGTGCCAGGCCCTGTGCCGCGCACTGCAAGCATTATCCTTGCAACCCCCCAGCCTCCTTGTGAGGATGGGCAGACATTCTTATCCTATTTGGCAGATAAGAGAGCCGGAGCTTAAATCACTGTAGTGACTTGTTCTGGGCTCACAGCTGGTAAGTGGCAGAGCCAAGATTTCACTGCAGGTCTGCTGACTCCAAAACTCAGGATTTGCAGTTAAGCTCTTCCCCAAAGCAGAGCCTCCTTAGCTCAGAACTGTTTCTTTTGCAGCTGACTACGTGTAAGGGGCAGGTGGAGACCTTTATGAGACTTACATTAAAAGACATGAATACAAAACTGGGACCATAGCTGGAAGGTTTTGAACAGCTCAGCAGCGCAGCCCGGGAAAGCCAGGCTTTGTGGCACAGCCAGGGCAGCCTCTGCAGGGAGTGGTGAGAGCTACCTCCAGCTTAGGTTTCAGCTCAGAGCGCGTCTCTTGACAATTTTTCCTTCCCCTGGGACATTGTCTGAATTGGCTGTTCCAAATCTCTGCTCCCACTGTAGCTGCCAAGTGAATCCATTTGCATCTAGGAGCTTTGCAAGTCTGATCAAGCAGGGTCCTCTGTGCCCTCGGTGAGTGTGTGTGTGGGGGGGTGCGGAGTAGGCTCAGCAGATACTTTTACTGGCCAGGAGAAGTGGCAGCTTGTACAGAAAAATACCCTGGGGAAGGAAGTAGCAGCTTTGACAGACAGGTAACTGACAGGAGATGCTACCTTCCAGGCAAATACTCACAGTGCAGCAAGCAGAAAGAATTCAACAGGCAGTTACCTGCAGGAGCGGGAACACTCCTCTTCCTGCTGGCTTAGGAGAGTGGTGGAGGTTTGGCTCTGGAGGACAAGTAGTTACCCTGGTTCTTTGTTTTCTTTAACAAACATGGAAGGACGGAAGCCAGGATGCTCTGCGTATGGGGAGACACAGGGTACCTGGGTTTAAAATGTAATGGCATGACCAGGAAAGTGGAGGGGAAGTGACAGACACTGTGTGCCTTTATTCCCATGTTTGCAAGCTGCCTTCTCAGAGTACCATAAGAATGCAGTGAAATGGCACAAAGGGACACTTTTGATGGAAAATTGTTCTACTTCCCTTAAAAGCCCTAGGATTGTGGCATCTGGGCTCATCTACCCTGATTAAGAGATAGGAAATTCTGGGGAACTAGCCGGAAGTCAGAGTCTGGGTACAGGGATGCATTCACTTGCTTCTGTGGAGAGGTTTTTTGCAGGAGCTGGGATAAGAGACCAGTTGGTCATATTGTCAGAATCTCTCCTGTGTTCCTATTCCCTTGGGGAAATTGTGTGAGGATCCAGCAGGAGTGAGGGAGGGAAACAACAGGATTCTGGGTAGAACCCTTCCTTGTGGGAGAAAGGGACAGAAATAGTCCAGGGTGTTTCTGGGAGACCCCGTTTAAGAGGACAGAGGTCTGGAGTGACTCTTCTCAGTCCTGGGCCAAGTTGTGGGAAAAGAAGGCTTACAGGAGCACACAGTGTCTCTGGAGCCACTTGCGGGCCTGAGATTCTGTGGCATCCGGGTGAAAAGGAGGCTTTGGAAGGAAGCAGTGTGGGTTTCAGGGCTGGCTTTGCCAGTTGCTGGGCATATGGCCCTCGGCAAGTTACAGAAACTCTGAGAGCCTGGTTTCTTAAGGCTGTTTCAAAGGGAAAACAGAAAGCACCTGAAATGTGTCAGGAGCACGCAGTACAAAGTAGCTGGCATCCGCAAAGGAAAGAGGAACAGAATAGAAGCAAGGTTCCGGTGGGAACGAAGGAGGAACAGGCGGGAGGTCCTGCTGATGGAGCTCCCACCTGCTCAGTCTATGGAGAGGAAGGAGTGATGGGGAGAGAGAAGATAAAGGGGTCACCAGGGAAAGTGGGTAGTCCCCCGCTGCAGCCTTACTCTCTGCTGCCTCCCCGCTCAGCCTGTGTCATCCTGTCAGGTATGCCAGTAACCTTAATGCCATCTGTGCCCTGCTATCTTCCTCATGCTTCTTGTTTATTTATTTACTTTTTAAGGTGCTGGTGATGATGCCAGCAAGCACCCTACCACTGAGCTGCACCCCCAGCCTTCAGACTCCACTTTAAATTGGTAGATAACCCTGGCTTTGCGTTCCCACGTTGGTAGGATCTTGTGACTTCTTCCCACCTTAGTCTCCCGTTAATCTATCTGAGCTGGCCGGTGAAGGTCACTTCTCTGCTCAG